CCTTTCATGGCAGCAGCAGCAGCAGCCCTTTGTCGAAGTATCCACAATTTCCTCAGTCCTCAGTTTTGGGGCATGCCACTCAGCCAGCCCGCCCCCTGATTGCTCTTTATTTCTTTTTGTTTTTTTGTGGCATTGTTGAGCCAGTTCCAGTGGCATTTTGAGTTGCCTGCGTGTCTCGCAATGCGCTCGTTATCCTTTTTATTTGAAGTTTGCTTAATGCCAAGTAAATAGTACCCCACATCCCACATGTCCTGATCCGCAGCCGCATCCACATCCTTTAGCTCCCGTTTTGGGTTCGTTTTTCTCCTCGTTGTTTTCCTGCCGCATTGTTTCATCTTTCGTCCTGGCCGCAAATGGCAGATGTTATCCTGTGGCTGTTTTTCCAACTGCTCCTTCTTTTTCATGGCTTGTTGCAGACAACGACGACGACGACCTTTCCGCCCTCTGAACGGCCCTCAACCCCCAACCCACTCGACTCGACTCTACTCCCCATTTATTGACGCTAAGTTGGCAGTTACCTATGACCCCTTGGACCCCAGACTAGGGGAATCCAGATCCTAGACTCGAGATCCCCAACTCCGGACTTATCTGGCGCATTATCATCATCATCTTCAATTTAATGCGTCGACGATGCCACTCGACAATCTCTTTTTGTCTTTGCGGCACTTCCTGCCAAAGGACATGTTTGCGTTTATTTCGTGTGTTATTCTTATTTTTTTTTTCCTTCTGGCCTTGGCTGGCTGGTTGGCTGGCTGGTCCTCTCGGCTCTATGTGTAATGCCACTTTATATGCCGCAGTTGATGCCTTTAGAGGCTTTTGTGTTTACGCCATGTTAAGCCTTGAATCCTTGAATGCCACAGCCGCAGCATCCTCAACCTCAACCTCCACATCCTGTTGTGCCTCAATGCCCTCGTCCATTTCTAGTTCTACACGCAAATAAAAGTATCTTTTTGAAATAAAATTTATAGATTTTAAATTTAAATAAAGGATGAGTTACTACCAGTAGGATATCTCTTGCTATAATTTATATTTTTTACCAATAATTAACTTTCTAGTTACATTTCTCTGTGTGTTGTTGGCAGTGCATGTGTATTGGCATTTACTTGCTTGATTTTCGTGTTGTCCCGCCTATTTGCCTGTGACAATCTACCAATCTGCTGCTGCCCCAACCTCACCATTATCCATTATCCACCCAAAGAACTCCACCCAGCCGGGGGTGTTAAGGCCCAAACAGAGAACAAGGTCGTTTCCCGCTTTTTCCATATGCCGCATTTACATTTAACATTTCCATTTCCATCTGAGGACGTGCTTCGGTTCGGTTCAGTTCAGTTCAGTTGGGCTGGGGCTGGGGCTTGGGCTTGGGCTTGGGTCTTCCTCCCAGGCTTTGCTTTTCCTTTGGCTTTTTTATGCATGATCTCATCGCTGACTGGCAGGTCATGTGACAGGCCTACTCCTCTTCGAGCTCCTCTCGGGCCTGCTGCCTCTTCTCGGGGGGGAGCCAGACAAAAGTTAATTGCCTGACATTAAACTATGGAAAATGATGGACCCTTGAGAGTGGGGGAGGAATAAAAACAAAACAGTGAGGGGCCGGCACTTGGGAGAGTTGGGAAGCCATGCAGCAAGTATCTCTTAATTATGATTTTTAAAAAAGAGTCTTCATTAAAGCAACTCCTCTTACTTTAAACGCTTTTTCAAACTTTAATAGCTTGCTATCCTTAGGGATATAGCTTTTCAGTTAAATATTTGAGGAGTATGTTTTATTTTCTTAAATGGCCAACACATTCCAAGGGATTTCAAGCCCTGATAGGCTGAAAATTTCCAGCTCCACTCCATTCCGCCCTCCGTGCTAAGCCGCCAACAAACTTAAGCGGTTTTCGTGCCGGGGACAAAGATTTGACAGCAGAACCGAAAAAAAAAACATATACACTCGCATATATATATTAAGCCCAAGCTAGATCTGCCCCTCTGCCATGTCAGCTTAGAATCAAAAACAAAAGCCCTAACCCGAGTCCTTTTCCCGGTATAGCACCTGTCTGTTGCTTGCCTACTTTCCTACTGGCTTTTTCCAAGCCAGGTGGAAATCGGAAAACCCTCGCCTTTCCTGTCCTTCAGATCCGATTGGCTTCATCAGGCCGGTCGGTCGGGTGGCCGGGGAGGAGACCCTCGGGCCAAAGGCAATACATTACAGAGCCCGGCCAGATTAAACTTGACTTTCCTTTGCCATATTCCCGCTCCCGGCAGAGACAGAGAAATTTGAAATTATTGCCATCGTTGATTTTTCGTGGCAATTTTGTCATTTTGCGGTTATTAGCGCGACAATTTCCACTGCTTTCCTCTTCTACTCTTCTGCGATTTATGGCTGGCCATTTGGCAATGAGTTATTACTGGAGATTAGGCCAAGAACGTGGCTCATTTTCTGATTAATTTGTAGGTGTCAATGGGCCGACCAGAGCCAGAAAACAGAGGGAAAAGTGAATTTTTATTGCCCAACGTAAATCAAAGTGAGAAAGGATATCCAGCAGGATAGCACTCCGCACAGGAGAGGCTTTGCTGCTCATCCCTGTTGCTGATTTCAATTAAATTGCTTTTGATTTAATTTCAGAGCTCAACTGTTGGCTAGACAAACAAAACCAGAAAAGGTTCCCTCACTCGACTGTCTCTGCTCCTTGCACTGTGAGAAAGGATATATTTGATATTTCTCATGAAATCCTTTTTCTTCTTTTCTATGGAAAAGCTTTCATTGATTTTCTTTGTGTAGGTCTTAGTTTTCCCTTGGCACCTTGGGGGCTTCTACTTGGGTCTATATTTGTCCCTGTGGATTTCTGGCTAGCAGCAACCGCAAAATGCCTGAAGGCTTGGCAGAAAGGAAGAGGTCAGGACACAGGACACAGGATACAGACAGGACATCATTTCCCTGTTTGATCTACTCCGGGGCTACGGGTTGTGCTTGTTTAAAAACGCATTACTAGCCGGGGAAACCGGAGGTGAGAGAAGGTCTCTCCGACCGACCGCAAGTGGAAAATCCTTTAGCCACAATCAGAGTTCACATATCCTTTCTTGGATGTCTTCCTTTTTCCGTATTTTTCCTGCAATTACTGTGGTTCCTGTTCAGAGTCCCTACCTCTTTTGAAATTTATTTCAAACTAAGCCCAAAATAAATCCAAATGCTGGCAATTAATAAGCATTTACAATTTACAAATCCCCGTCGAAATTTACTTTGTGGTTTCATGGCCTTTTATTCCCCCCCCCCCTCAGTTCGTAGTCCTTCTACACTAGTATTTTCCTAATTAAACATTTTTGCGTTTGTCGATTGACTAAACACATTAGATAAACATAATGAATTTGAGGCCTCGATCTATTGAAATTTATTTAATGTGGCATACATGCAAATTAGGGCGTTGCAAGGCGTGGCCCTGAGGCAGCTAATTAAACCACAGCGACCTATATTTTAGACATGTTTGTATTTTTTTTTAGCCTCCATAGCCTCCCATTTATATTAAGTGGGCGTGGCACTGTTTGAAGTGCATAGGAAATGCGTTGCCAATCGAAGAGGCGGTTAATTAGCATTGGGTCAACTATCTAGTATAGGGTTTTTGCTTTCAGTAGGTGGCATTACTCATACGCTATGTGGGTTGACTTTAATTTAAGTTTTAAATTTTATACTTTATTTTTTCGATTATTTCTCTAGTTCTGTATAGTTATTTTCTATCGCAATTAGTGCCGTCTTCTGCCCGCTCGTCTAATTCCAGACCAAATACAAACACTGAGGCCAGCTCCAATACTTATAGCTTGGCCATTAGAGCCACGTTTGTGTGTTGTGTTTTTGAATTAATTACACAGTTAATAGCCATGGCTAAAGGTACCACAACCAGGCTATAAAGTGAGAGAATAACTGAGAGAAAAATTATAGAAATAAAAGAGCTAGAAGGTTTTTCTTTAATACTCTGGGATTTTAGAAAGCTTTTCTTTTTTGGATTTTATTTTTAATAATATTCTAATCTAATCTTTTATTTTTTCAAATATTTTTTTTTTTAACTTTTAACTCATTTTTTCTTAGTGTTTTGGTAGGTTTAGGTCGAAACACTCGATTGCTTCGCCATGAAAGGGACCGGGGCAATATTTCACTTTATTTGCCTTTTGATTAGCCCTAATAGCCAGCGTTAACAGCTAGCAGGTCACACACAGGCATACACATACAACACACCATCCTTTGCCACTTGTTGCAACAACAACTACTACGAGTGGCACATAAATTTCTATTCTAATTACTTGCGTTCAGTCAGCAGCAGGTCACCATTCGTATTCGCATTCGCAATCGTGTTTGTAATTTATTGTGCTTTTGGCTTTGTTGGCTTTTTAAAAAAAAGATATATGCGATTATGCGATAGTCGGTGTTGCTAGTTGCTAGTTGCCAGTTGCCGGTTGCATCTAAATAGTTTCTAGTTTCTGACTGGGCCCGGCAGCGGCATTTAAACTAAATGTGTCATGTGCATTTTAAGAGGGAGCTTTGTGGGAGGGGGATTTAGGGGTTAAACACAAAAAACCCAACCAGGGGTTAAACGTCGAGTGTTCATTGTCTCCTCCTTCCTTCATTATGCTAATGTTCAGATGGTGTTGCATTATACTCGTAATTGTAATTGCCACAGAGCATGCCAATTAAGTGATTCCAATTTGGAGGGCAGTGGATGGAGAAGGTCAAGCTTGGTGGACGGATGGATGACTCCATCTGGAATAGGAGTGTATACATATCTCCCTCAAAACTTCAGACAGAGACTCTCCCCGTTCAAAGTTTCTAATTAGCAATGGTCAAGCGATGTTATTTATGGGAATATTTCTTGCAACTAGAGCTAGGGTGTGCCTTTATGAGGAAATTATTAATGATCCTCAAGTGGTGGCCAAGATTATCAGGGGAATGGTGAAATGTGGGGGGATCTTCTTTCAGAAAGGGCCTTTAAGATTATACCAAAAATGCAACAAATTTTAATAAAAATTCTATTTACAGTTAACATTCAAAGTGGCAGTGGCTTCCAGACGCTTTCCCTCGTTCATGGCCCGATTCCTCACCACACACTTGTACTTGGCTCCATCGTCTTCCCGGCGAGGAGTTATCGTCAAGGTGGCATTTGTGGGCTGATCCTTGGTGCCGCCCCTCAGCACAGTAGATGGCAGTGGGGAATTGGAACCATCGCGATACCAACTATAGGTGATTTAAATATTTAATTAAAAATTAAAAATAATTGAAATATAAACTTACGTTATGGTGGGATCGGGAGAACCGCCAATACTGCTGCAGGTCAGCTCCAAGGGCTTGTCTTCGGTGGCCACGGCTATGTTTCCGGGCGAGATCACGGGTGGATGGGGTGGCGTCAGAACGGTGAGGTTGTGGAACTCCTGATGGACATCCGCTCCAGTTCCCTTGGCCTTGATGCGGCACTCGAAGCGACCATTATCTCGATTGTACGAGACATTCTTGATCTGGAGATCGTAGATACCGCGCTCCGGATGAAAGTCGAGTCTGAAAAACAGAAAAGTTAATCAATTTTCCAGATTTCTCCTCAATTTACATTCTTCTTTTGGCCAGAAATCAATTTATTTTTATTTGAAAAGTTGCAGGCTGCCCCGCCCCCTCAGCTGCCATCACTAATTGTGCTAATATTGGATTTTCCCACTCTTGTCCTTGATTCGTTTCCTGTTTTCTGCCCGCAGGTGGCCAAACTTTAAACGCTCGCAATATAAATAAATACGAAATGGTAATATTTGACGACGCCGGCGACAAGTAGGGTGGGCGGTAGGTACAACATAAATAAAATCAACGTTCGAATAAATGTTTGCATATTTTTCCTAGACAATTTTCCAATAAGAACCTTGGCTCCTGGGTCCTGTGCCCTGGCACCTCAGCTCAGGCTGTACCCAAGTGAAAGGTAAACAGGAGAAAAAAGTAATGTAATTTTCCAGCACAACTCTGTGTGTTTACCTTATTGTTATTGTTATGTGTTGGACTATTAGGCTCTGAGGGGTTTCTTCGGCCCTAAAACCGAAATTAATTGAAAAAATTGTTTATAATTGGAAAATGGAAGATGGCCTGTGATTAGGCTAGACACTCTCACAGTTATTTGATTTGTTGTTTAGTCAAATAAATAGATTTCCCAGCCAGAACCGAAAACAAACATCGATTTCTAGTGTTTGTTTAAACTACATATCTGAGGGTGGCCTTCTACGTAAATTCGATTTATCTTCTCGTAATTTGTGTGTGACATTTTTGATTTAATGGCTGGGGCCGACAAACTTTTCGAATTTATGGCAATTGATTTTGTTAAATGGCATTTCAGTCAATTCGCTGCCTTCGTTCGATTTCCATATTTCATTTAATTCAATTGATTCGAGTGTACACATATGTTCAAAGCTTTTAATAAAAATTCTTTAATGCTCACATATGTTATTCGTCAATAAATGTTAATTTTTAACTTTCATATTAAATCATAGAAATAGAGAAGCATTTCTTTTCAAGAGATTGGCAATTTTCTACTTCTGTCAGACATTCAATTCCCTCCCTCTCTAGTTGCCTTCGTTTTGTCAATGTCTTAATATTTCAAGGCCACTTCAGTATCCTCTTTTTAGGACTTTTTCTTTCACAATTTTCTCAATAGCTTGATGCTGATGATTATTTGGCAGTCTTCGTCATCGTCGTTGTCCTGGACAACTACTGAAAATTGATGCCGGCTGAATGCGCTTCGCTGGATCCGTGGCGTTTCCACGCTGGTCAGTCAGCAGTTTATTAGATTGGCAAACAAGATGCCACCCACTACCCACTAGCCATTTCCCATCGAAAAGTGAGAGGTAGAAACTTTTGGGAAGCTCATTTGTCAATCTGCAAGTGGACCGTTGACTGAAGACTTGATGGAATTGCTTTTTGGTGGGAGTATTGCGCATTTTCCACCGACTCGGAGGCTTCGACAATTTTTATTGGCCAGCCTTGGGGATAAGCCCTATTAGACAGAAGCAGAACTACATTCGTGTGCTAATTACCGCCAAAAAACGCACTGCAGCGCAAAAAAGGAATGCGTCTGTGAGAAAATTTAATTTCTGCCAGGAATCTTGCTCTTAAAATCTCTAAAAAGCTAACAAGGATAATCCTAAACCGCCATAGGGGGTAGGAATGGAATATTTACAGACAGAAAAATAATCAACCAAGCTCAAGTATTAATTAAATTATACTCTCAAGCTCCTGGCACTTCCACGCTTAATAAATGCAAATTTGTACGTCAATTTCACATTCTATGTTAAGCTTTTAATTGTTTAAAAGTTACTTTTCTCTCTGTAGAGGACAGCCAATTGACAGAATTCTCTGTAGACCCTCCATCGCGAGTCCTTGCTAGTTGAACCATTTTTTTCCAGCTGCTTCCTGTCTCTGTCTCCTATCCCATCTCTGCATTTTGGGGACATGTCTCTGGCGACTTGCTCATTTGCAGCTGGGATAGCAGGAATTCTCAGGACACGTGCTCGGGTGGACGTAGAAAAAAAAGTGCAAATTATAAAAACTGCTGGCAAAGCGCAGTCATCGTCATAGTCTCGACTCTGGGGAATCCCTATCCAGTTGCTCCCTCCTCTTGGTGCTCGCGGCTTAAATCAGCAGGTGGGGCAGGGGCTGTGGATTGTGGCCAAGCCAAAATGGGGGAAAGGACGCGTCCTTGAGCGCCACCAAAAAGGACTCCGGGGGAATAAGTAAAAAGCCCCCAGGCCCCCATGTTCTTGTTGTGCAAAAATTTCAAGTTTATCCACAGCAGGTCTTGGGTTTTATTTTTTATTTTTATCCTCTATTTTTCTATTTTCTATCTGGTATTGCAATTTGTGATTTGTTGTTGCTGCTGCTTGGTCCTTCGTGTTGTCCTCAATTCCAAGTCATCCCTCTGGGCAAGTTTTGAAAAAGTTTTTTCTTTTTTTTTGATTTTTTATGGCAGGGCAGCGAAAAAATTTAAACGGCCGCCAATTATTGGGCTGAGTTGGAAAACAAAGAGGAGACCCACAAAAAAATTAGGATAATTTCGAGGGGGGAAGACTTTACTTTAAAGTTTAGAGGAAAAAAAGAAAGAACAGCTTTCTTTAGGCGGAGCCTTGCAGTTAGCTGGCAGGTTATGTTAGTTGATAATATCGGATACGATATATACGGATAATATTTTATATAGTTGCCCATAGGGGTTTTTTCCTAATGGGATCCCTTGAAAATGGGGTTTTTACCTATATGGCCCACAGTGATGACTATATCTTTCCCAATTTTCATCCGATTCTCAAGCGGAGTACCTTAAACGATTTCTGGGTCGATTTGCCACCATTCTGCATCAAAATCCTGAGACGAAAAATTTTTTATATTTTTTGTCCAATTTTCCTGATGGGATCCCTTGAAAATGGGGTTTTTCCCTATATGGCCCACAGTGATGGCTATATCTTCCGCAGTTCCCATCCGATTCTCAAGCGGAGTACCTTAAACGATTTCTGGGTCGATTTGCCACCATTCTGCATCAAAATCCTGAGACGAAATATTTTTTAGATTTTTTGTCTATTTTCGTGATGGGATCCCTTAAAAATGGTGTTTTTCCCTATATGGCTAACAGCGATGGCTATATCTTCCCCAATTCTCATCCGATTCTCAAGCGGAGTACCTTAAACGATTTCTGGATTGATTTGCCACCATTCTGCATCAAAATCCTGAGACGAAATATTTTTTAGATTTTTTGTCCATTTTTCATGATGGGATCCCTTAAAAATGGGGTTTTTCCCTATATGGCTCACAGCGATGGCTATATCTTCCCCAATTCTCATCCGATTCTCAAGCGGAGTACCTTAAACGATTTCGGGGTCGATTTGCCACCATTCTGCATCAAAATCCTGAGACGAAATATTTTTTAGATTTTTTGTCCATTTTTCATGAAAAAGGGGGTTTTTCCCTATATGGCCCACAGTGATGGCTATATCTTCCCCAATTCTCATCCGATTCTCTAGCAGAATACCTTAAACAATTTCTCGATCGATTTGCCACCATTCTGCATCAAAATCCTTAGAAAAAATATATTTTAGATTTTTTGTTCATTTTTTGTGATGGGATCCCTTGAAATTGGGGTTTTTTCGTATATGGCCCACAGCGATGGCTATATCTTCTCTAATTCTTATCCTTTCTTCCATATATTCAAAAAAACCAAAAACACCACATATTGGAGACATATTATTAGCCTTGTAAAAACAGAATATTTAGATGCCTTGTCCTGATTTACAATACACTTTCGCCCTGAAGTATGTAATCGAATCACCCCACAAGTGAAATTCGGAATCCGAGAGATTGCGGATCCCTGGCCCCTTGAATCCTCCGACAATTGCGTTGACTTCCAAATGCCGCACTCATTGTTTCTCAATCTCTGAAAGCGGAGCATTCCCCCGATGTCTCGTTAAATTAAATGTTCAGCGAAATATTAGCCGTGAGCTTTCTGTTTCTTTGGACATTTTTTTTTTGTCTTTCGACCCGTCGCGACATTTTGGCCCAAAGAAAAAATGGTGTAATTCCTTTTTTTTGCAGTTTTTTGTATTTTAGCATTGCCAGCAAATTTGCAGTAATTTCACTTTTGCTGCCGCACAGATGGGGCACAGATATAGATATAGCCAAGGAGCAGGGACAGAGACTGGGGCGTGGCAGGAGGAGTAAGGGTACTATCTCAGCCTTCATTATGTGGCCGGTTTGGCTCGCTTCTGTCTCTCCTTGGGCCATGTGTCCTGGTGGCCCAGGTTCTGGTTAGGGCTGGGTTTTGTTCGTGTCCTTGTTGCCTTGTTGTTTCCTTATCCTTGTTAGCTTTTGGCACAAATTGCAGTAAAAATATATTTTACAATTTGCCTGGCAGGCTGCGCGATTTCTTGGCCCCTCATTGCCTCTTAGGGCTGTCCTATTCCTATTTGTTGATTTGCTTTTATTATACTTAGACACATATAAGTACATAGAAATAGTTGTATGTTCTTTAGGATATATATTTTTATTTTTTCTTAAAATATATTTAATTTTTTTTTCTCTGCATCTTTAAATTTTAAAATATTATGACCTCTAGAAGAAGCTGGCTTGCGGCCATTTTATTTGCGGAATGAAACGAAATGGAATGAAACGGAAGCGCAACGAGTTGGAATGGAACGCTGGCTGGGCTGCACTTTCCACAAGTCGCACGACTGTGCCGCACAGTTGGCACTTAAAATTTATGTGTTGCCACATAAAGAAACCCGTACAGCAGTAGCCGAACATTAAAAAGCTGGCGGCCAACAGGAAGCGGAAGTCGCAGGCACCAAGCAAATAAAAATACAATTGAAAAGGGGGCGGCCAGGGAGGTAATGAAAATGAAACATAAACACAAAAACACCAATGGGCCATGTGTGTAGATGGGCTTGTGAGTGGCAGGCTCATAATTGTCTCAACATGCAACACGCGGCGTTGACATTAAGGATTAAGCCGAAACATTGGAAACTAGTGATGGGGAAACTAAAGCCGAATCGTGAGTCACGAGGAGGAAAATAAATTACCATACTTGCTAAATAATTCAAGCTTTATGATATAAATATTTTAAAGTTATATTTAAATTTTAATAATCCCTCTTTAAGGGATGTTAAGCCCATTGATGTATCCATGACTATGGCCAAGTTCGGACTTAACTCTCGGCTGCCTGGTATTTGTTTAAATTGCCAAGAACTTGATTTTAATTAAGTTGCCAGCCCAGTCAGTCACATGCATAAATCGCATTATCCAGGTCGTCTGGAATGGGTTTGACCTGGAGCTTTAACTGGTGGGGGAGGTGGGGGGGGAGTGTGAAACATTTAATTAACTTAACAAATGGCTGCCAACTGCTGCTGTTGCTACTGCTGCTGCTGCTTCTGCTTTTGGCTGCCAGGATAAACTGTACTTGGTAAGGGAAGGATATGCCGTTAATGCCAAAAGAGAAAAGGACACAGAGCCACCCTGCCACTAGCAGGATTCTCCCACAAAATTTCACTTTACGACCCCACCACTGGACAACCATAAACGACATCAGCTTTATGGACAGCAGCATTTAACATCCCTCAAAGCTGGTCCCATTCCCGCAATTATCATGGCCATGGACTGGGATTTGATGTCCATTACTACTCACCTATAGCCGGAACTCAACTGCACATCGCCAATGGCCACGTTATCGAACTGGGCCGGATTCGCAATCGAACGGGTCCAGAAGAAGGAGAAATCATTCGAATCGTACTTGTCATTAAAGCGACACTTGAGGGTCAGGTCGGCATTCTCGCGTGTGTCGATCGACTCGTCGGCCAGGATGGTCGAGGAGCTCAATGCTGTCAGAGCTGGAAGGATAAAAAATAATACAAAATATAAATAAAGTTTCTGGTTGACAATAAAAGTATATGTAGTATCAGTATTGAAGAGAAAAGTAAACTTTTCAAAGGACTTTCGATTCCTACATCCATAAATAATTTAAATTCTTGACCGCCACACAATGCAACTTTCTCATACTTTCAGGCTCCATAAATACAAAAAAGAGAAAAAAATCATAACTTTTTACTTTGCTTTCAAGCCAAAGAACCTTTTCAGTTTTCATGAAATTTTCATCATCTGCCCCCCTCCCCTTCGAAAAGAAATCGGTTTAAAAACAAAAACAAAGGACAATTTTTGTTTAATTCTTAATAAAGCATTATTGTGGGTGTATGTTTGTGGGTGCGAGGAGGGTTTATACCTCAACAACTCAACGCAAACCAACTCGATAGAAAAAAAAAATGAAAACAATTTCAAGTAACTTTTTCATATGCTTAGAACCCAAACCCACCCACACACTCTCCTCCAGAGTCCGGACGACAAAGTTTGGAGATACATGGCCTACCTTTAAGCGCACCTTGAACACACACGCGTATCCCATGGATTCGCTTCGTTTCAGTTAAGGTTTCAGCTTTTCTTTTATTTTTTGGGGACTCTTGGCGCATTACTCTTACTTTGGTGCGTAAATTTCGAGTGGAATTTATAGCCGCTTTATATTTGGCATCAAATATGCATGAGACGGCGTTTAAGCCACTCCACAAAAAAGTATTCGAGGGGCAATAAATTTTTGTATTTGTGCCAAAGAACCAGACGCCCTAGTCTGGGCCAAGTTTAAAGACTAGAACGCTGCTATTCTTTCTGCATTTGCATTAGGGGCCAATAGTCGTTAAAATCGCAAAGTTATGCGACGCAGCAGCGGCCCATGAAAATCGCATTAAAATTAATTTGGCACTCGTCTGAAATATCCCCATTTAATCCGATGGATAAAGAGGATCTGGCGTCACACGTCAAGGTGGCAACTCTGCCAGCATCACTTCTCATTTTCGCCTTGGCCCCGAGAGTTCTATCTTGTGTTTTTTTTTTTGGGCCAGGAATTTATGTCAAAAGTTTCGTTCTTTCGTTCGTTTCTTGTTCGAGAGTCCTGCGATCTGGGTCCTGGCGAAACGGGCGGCGTTGTGCCCATTTCATTCATTTATTCTAGCCTGTCTCTGTCTGCCATTAAAGTTACTTTTGTGGAGCTCTTTTGGCCTGGTTGTCAACGCATTTCTTTTGCTCATTTCACTTGACTGCTTACCAGAGAGAAAGGGAAAGGGTAGGGTAGGAAGAGTTAGTGCTGTCCATTTTCGCAGGATGCGTTTCTAATTAAAAACTTTAGATGAGCACAACGGCGTAAGGATGGCGATGGCGATGGCGAAGGCCGAAGGAGGTTCAGCTCACTGCACTTAGGCAAATTGCCAGATGTTGTTCTCTCCTGTCCAGACCTGGGCATTGTTGTTGCATTGAGTTATCCTTAAGGCCTCCAATAACTCCAAAAAGTTAAGATTCAATCCCCGATTAATTGAGACCTTTAAACAGCCCATGTCCAAGGCTTCTTGACTTTTTCGATTCCGATTTTCACCGCCTTCAGTGTCGGACATTAAGAATTCAGGAAATGTTAAGTGCAATTAATGGGGCATACGGCCGAATGGCCAACCAACGGCAGCCACTTGCAACTAATTAAATTATCGTTACAGAACCCTGCCGAGAGCTCTCAGAGAGAGAGAGAGAAGAAGGTTAAAAGAAAAATTTCTTATAATTGCTGGAAATTAAAAATAATATGCAATCCAAAAGAAGTCGACTGATGGTCGACCCAAGAGAAGGGCTGAAAAATTCAATTTCCGTTCAGGAATATTCCTTTTTTCAACTAAAAGCTAATGGAGCCAAAGTTAAGAAAGAAATCAACTTTTTATTTATGTACTTTTATGAAAATGTATACATTAGCACGGAAATTGGCAAAGTTAAGGAATTAAGGTAATAATCATACTACAAGTCAGGCCTGAAAATGTTAAGATTTAAAGACCAACTAGTGCATTTGGTCAATGGCCTTTTCTTGGAGCTTCTGGCCAAGAATTCACAGCCCAGTCAGGCACACAGGTGACTAGCCGACACCTACTGTGGAGTTTCCAAGTGAAGCTTCCACACAATACGCAATTATGACGTGGGAATTATATTAAAATGGAAACAATGACAGACAAAAGGGCAAAAGGCTGGGAAACTGGGCAAACTGGGATGTGGCATGGTTGGAGCGGCCTATCCCAAGCTGTGAGCTGTTTTGTGGCTGCCTCAAGGGAAACCTCCGTGAAGACCCGAGAAAATGGGTAACAGAGACAGTACTGTGAGAGAGAGAAAAGGAGACTTGGTCTTGTTAATTGCATGTTCTGCATATCACTTATAAATGCAACAACGCCCACACACCACCCAACTTCGAGGAAACTTCACACTTCCACAGACACCTACACATACCTTGCCACACATGCACCATGCCACAAGCGAAAGAGACGGGGCGATGGACATGGCGAGAGAGAGACAGCAACTGATATGGTGGCAGATTTTGGAAAAGTTCGCCATAATTGGATTTTCAGAGTTAATTACCAGCATTGAATTTGGCCATAAAATGTAAGAAATACCTACGCTCTACCACTAGCTAGATAGCATATCCCCCTCTCACATATCCCATATCTTTTTCACCATTACTGTCCTTCTCTTTCGCTCTTCAAGCACTTGATTACAATGTACTGTAAGTTGGCATAGATTTTTTATTTTAATTGGAAACATTTTCTTTTTTAGTTAGTGGATATTTTAGTTGGAAATTAGTTACACAGAGAGTAATATTTTTTATTAATATTATTTATATTTTATTGATTTTATTTATTAGGGGCCTCTTTTTGTGATTCTTCTAAGGTTGCTAATGCCACACAGGAAATCTCAGAGGAGAGCAAAAGACAGACATCTGCAGAGTTATGCATAATGTGTACAGGACACAGCGAAGAGATGCCAAAGGATAAAGGACCTGGGACCAGGACACCGAGCAACAGCAGGAGCTTAGGAATTATGTCTTATTATTTTGCCTGCAGCCTCTGCAGGCCAGGCCAAGAACAATGGCAAATCACATACAGTGTTCAGGACTTTCTCTGCAACTCGGGTTGTTGTCCTGGCACTGCACCAAAGTCGCAATCTCAAGCCTTTAATGTCTTTATGTTGGACTGGCCGACAAAATCCTTGCACTGAGAGTGAAAAGGATAAGTTAGCTTCCTACTCTCTAAGAAAACTTTCTATTTTCTTTCAGTGCAACATCTTTAGTCCTTGCCAACTGCTGCTGAATCCAGTCGATAAAAACTGCAACTGCTTCAGCTCCGCGCCCATAAAATGCAACATAATTTTCTTATGACTCACACAGATAGAGAAAGCTTAAGAAAAATACAAAAAAATCAAACCAAACGATTCCAAAAAGGTACGGCCAGGAGGAGGAGGTGTTAAAAGGGCAGCTAGGAGGTGGCCAGGAGGTGGCTAGTAGGGCTAGGAGTCACTTCTGGATGCAGCCTGCTGCTGTTACAATGAATGTTATCTGTTTTAAACGGCGCTCCCGTTTATCCTTGGCAGGAAAGGACAAAAGACAACCCAAGTCTGAGACAGCAAAAGTCAACGAATCGGAAGAAGATTGCAATTTAAGGCCCAAGCCCAAGGAGGTGCCGGGTTAAGGTGCGGCAAACTGGTTTTTTGTGTGTTGTCTGCAAGTCGGAGGAATATATATTGATGGCCAAGTTGTAAGCTCCTGGGCCAAGAATACCAAGAAATCACAAATGTTAAGAGACAGTGTGTACGGGGGTTAAGAAAACAAGAAACGTGACAACATTTAAGTGGCACATTTAACCCAATAGAGGAGATTAGTTATACCTTCCTATAATAACAAATAAATCAAGAATATAGTGCCTATATAGGACAAGACCCCTGAATAAATTATAAGAAAAATGGCAACAAGAACCCACAGCCAGTAGTGGGTTAAGTAAAGAGAAAATCGCATGTTGCAGCTGTCTTTTTTCGCAAGAAGGTAGAGGGAAGGTATGCCACCAGCAGATGTGGACACCTATATCTACCTACAGCTCTCTTGTACCGTTATTTCATTACAACTTTTGCATGACAATGCGGAAAAGTGGCAGCAACAAATGTCGAACCAAGAGGGGGGAGACTCACTCATAAGATGCGTGCCAAAGAAACAAGAATCTCCATCTCTCTTTTTTGGAGAAAAGAGGCAAGAGTCGCTAGTCTCACTAAAGTCGAGGAGTTTCGGTGAGATACAAGTTGTATCTGCAAGTCGTGGGTCTCACACGAAAAAAAAAGACAACTTTTCTGCAGCAGCATTTATGCGTTTTTATGCAGCGAGCCCCAAATTGCTTTGGCCAAAGTGGAAAAACCAGTTCGAGTTGCAACTTTTCAGGCAGCAAGATACTACTCGTACACATGAGCGCAAGAGCAGAGCCTCTTAACCCTCTGTGGTGCGAATGTGTGTGGTTAACATGGCTTAAGAAGAAACTTTTGTGCTCTCCCCCAAAAAAAATAAAGAAATATAAGCAACAACAGATAAGTTGCAACTTTCGAAAGTTCCACAAGAACTGAAATGTTTTCGTAGCTCTTTATTTTTTTTTTCTTGTTTACAAGGAAGGAGAAACCTCCTCCCTGGCCATATCCTTCCTGCCCAGGTCCTTTTTTGGCATACATTTCCGCAAGAAGAAGTCGAATGAAAATGCAATTTTCAAAAGCAAAACAAACACTTGTTGATTTGCAAGGACTGGGTTGGGAATGGGTTGGGAGTTGCCCCCCCCAACCGAACTGGTGTTGAAATATTAATAAATAAGCTTGCCAACTTTGGCAATTTTCACCAGCTAGCTACCACCCACCCATCCACACACCCTTTCTGCCACTTGCCACTTGACAAACCGCACAAAAATCCAGGGCCAAAGGCAGCCGAATGCTGAAAATTTTTCTTACTGCCACA